ATTCACTTGTGTCCTCATGTGATTTCATGAAAATGATACATTAGCAGACTCATCAGGTATGAACACACAACATTTTATTTGGATAATAGCACAGGTGTGTCCTTGGAAGGCAGTAATAATGTCCAAGGCCATCCTATCTTAGAGGAGAGCTTTTCTTTTTTCTATTTTTTTAAAGATTTGTTTATTTATTTTAAAAAGAGAGTGCACTCACACAAGTTGGGGGAGGGGCAAAGGGAGAGGGAGAAACTCAAAAAGACTCTCCACTGAGTGCAGAGCCTGAGGCAGGGCTTGATCTCATGACGCTGAGATCACAACCTGAGCCAAAATCAAGAGTCAGATCCTCAACCTGCTAAGCCACCCAGGCACCCCAAGACAGCTTTTCTTATGAGAGACATTTCAGTGTTGGGTAAGGAAATATTTTGTCGGCTATCATTTAAGCCTTGTTGGGTGAATTTAGTAGGGGATTTTATGTGTGATATAATGTCTTCCAGACCAATGGAGAAAACAAAGATCAATGCAAATGATTGTACTAGTGGAAAATGGAACTGGCTCACTTCACCTGGCTGTTCGTACCATGCCTGCTGACTGGTGGAGGCAGCACTGTCAGGCATGAGGAGATGGACCAGGGGCAGGATATGCCAGATCGGGACTCCCACCTTCACCCCTTTCAATGGTGTGTGTTCTACTGCAGTCCTAGTGCTTTTCAACAGGTCTGACTTGCATCTGGAGAATAGGATCCCAGTGGAGACTGAGTAGCTCCTCCTCACCCCCTCACCTAGGGGGTGTGAAGTAACTTGCCCATCCCATCCCAATGGGACATCCCATTGCAAGTTCTAGTAGATGACACCTTTCTCAGACATGATGGGGCTTGGTGTTCTCAGCAGCATAGCATGTTGATCCATGGTGAGAGCCAGGGCAATGCTGTCCCCCAACACTTCCATACCTTTACAGTGTTGGGTGTCTGGACAGGAGTCCCCAGTCTGGCATATGTGGTAACAGGCCCTACTGGTTGATTATTTAAATGTATTAAAGACACATTAGTCCACCTGATCAATGTGGTTTGCCTGTTAGTAATTTAATTTACTGCTTTAATATTCCATTCTTTCTTTCTATCACCCCTGCTGCTTGCAGGTTATAGGGGGGATGAAACCTCCATTCAATGTCATATCCTTTTGCCCAGTCTTATACATCGTGACCTTTGAAATGTGACCCCTCAATCACTGTCTAATTGATAAGGGTATTTGTACATGGTATGCAGCTGGCCCAAATACCGGGGAGGGGGGGAACATGAAAGCAGCCAGCTTCGAGTGGGGTCTGGAGAGGAAATGGCACCATGGACCAGTCATCCCTGCTATCTAAGTGATAGGATCTGGAAGGCCCTATGATATTGGAGATGTCAGGGATGGGAAAAGATGCAGTGTGGAGTTTATGGCAAACTCCAGTGGGAGAAGGTCCCTGGATGATCTAGGTCCCTGGAATTCTGGAGTAAGTCCTTGCTAACTGCAGCAGAGAATTACACGCCCTTTGAGAAGCCTCTCCTGGAGTATTACTGGGGCCTGGTTGAGAAGAAATGCTAAAAAAAAAAAAAAAAAAAAAAAAGGCACCAAATGAGCATGCATCTGGAATATCCCATGATGAGATGGGTCCTGGCTACACATTCCTTTAGGGAAGGATTGAGGGAATGAATATTATATATATATATATTTGTAGTGGCATTGCATAGTTCTTTAAGAGGACCCAGCATCCTGTAATCAATGGGCTCAATAAGTTTGAGAAGTGGTTTAGATCTGGAAACATCTGGGAAGGATTTCTGATTTTTTATTGTTATGGCTGACATGAAACTTCTCAACAGCTCTTGACTTTTTCTGGTGTTACAAGTGAAGCAATGTTCAAGTTGTCTGACCACCTATCTTACTTCTAGGAATACCATGGTCTGTTAGTCACCGTCATAGATCTCAGTGGGACAAGGCACCCTGGTTGCCACTCTGTCTTTGCCGCCCATCGAGGTAGTTATTTCTACCTTACCTCTGGTGGTTAAGTAGCACTGTCTGGCTTCTGCTATTCCAGATTCATTCACATTGACTGAATCTGAACGAAGCCAATTGTCATGGTAGCATCGCCTACCATCAACCCTGACTTCCCAAGAATTGTCACCATTGGGCTTCTCAAAGATGCAGGTGCCCTCTACACTGGTGTGTTCCTCACTACCCTTGTGAAGAGAGCCCGTGGGCACTCCTAGTAAACATCACCAGGTTGTGCATTCCCTCATTCTAGGAAATAAATTCATTCTAATAGATTCACATCCTGAACCTTCTGATCTCTTTATCAATACTCGGCCGTGGCAATTCTAGAAGCTCCATCTCATTCACTATAGGCTGTCGTCGTGTTCAAGATCCAAGGAGCCATTCCTGCGGCATCTTGGCCCCGCTTGAGGCATTCTCTCAGGACAATAAATCCTGAGTCGTGAGAATGTGCTCTTGTGTTAATGAATTCTCTCCTGCCCAATCTTATCTTCTGCCCCAGCCCGCAGGTCCACCACCCTCAGGATTCTCTCCCACACATGTTTTTCTCAGTTGCTGCCAGGACCTATTGGCCATGGTATACAATTAATTCAGTGAGAAGGCCATTTCCTCCTGGAGAAGGAATGGTCTTCCCTTGCTCCAGCTAGGCTGAAACCTGGCTCCCATGATTGACCAGGGCCAGTGCATGCAATAGGGTGATCCTGATGAGGAAAAGCATTTTCATGGGAGGCACACATCACAAACCAAGTCTGTTCTGCTCTAGGAAGAAGGAGAAGGGGGCTCCTGCTAGTTTGGAGAGTTTAGGAGAACCCAAGTGTTCATGGTTCTCAAATGCATCCATCCACATGTCTCCATCCCATGTCTCCGGGTCCCAAACATCTTACCTGGGGGCTGACTTTAGCATAGGAGCTCTTCCACAGCTACACAATCAACCTCTTCTGCAGCTCTCTCACTCTTATGGTTAAATCCTGGGTCTCATCTTCAGCATGGTCTCACTGTGGTTTAAGGAGATAAAGTTATTTTTAAAAGCTGCCAGGAAGCCCTCTAATTTTCACTCTGTGTTGATAGCTGATTGACCAGAGCCTCTTTTTTTTTTCAAGGCTTCCAAGGCAGTTAATGAAATCCAGCCAACACCACAACCTTTGTAATTACCATCACCTTCGAGAGGCTGGGGTTAAGGCATGCCTCACTGGTGCCCCTCCAGCTGGACCGCATCCCAGCCCACCCCTGAGTGTCTTTGTCACATGATGCTGTCTGGATGGCCAGTGATCCAGTCACAGAATCCCACTGATGATCTATTTCGAGGTCTCCTTCTGGTGCCCACTGACTTAGTTTGGTTCCCTGAGAGCAGAGCTTGGGGCAGGGAAGAGAGGGAGAAAAGACAATATAGGGTGTATTACTGAGACTGCTGCTGTGAGCAACGAGAACCCAATTTTTCTAGAACCCTCTGCCTCTTAAGCAGTACATAGAATGCTTCCAGAGGCTGGAGTATATATCTCCCAGGTCTATGCTCCCTTTCTTGAGGATTACTCCTGGGTTACTCTAATTCCAGTCTCACTTAAATAAAGTCAGAGGGGATATTTGTGATGGGGTGAAGGCCCTGGGGCAGAAAATAGAAAGTCACGTGGCCCACCCATGAATCAGGTGGTGTGCTGTCAGTGCAAGGGGAGGCTGAGCCTGCACAGAACTGTCCACTGTAGCTGTGACTTAAAGAAGAAGAAGTGGGCTGAGATTATGTGACCAGGAGATGAATGATGTCAACATGGTCATTGCTGTCATCATCACTTGTGGCTAAACCAGCCATCGAAATAGGATGGAGCATTGTAAATGGTATAATAGAAACGTCAACAAAGTGCACAGGAGGAAAGGAGAAAATGATTCTAGCACTTGAGAATAAGGAGGTCTGAGTGGAGGTGATGGTATTTCTGTGGGAATTTGAAAGACCGTAGGATTTTACCAGGTGAAGAAGTCAAGGCAAAACATTCCAGGAGAGGAAAATGTAATTAACAAAAAGACTGGATGCAGTTGGGATGCAGTGATGGGTATAGTTATGGGGTGCAGTGATGGAGTTGCAGTGATGGGACCCACACTGATGGGCATAAATGACAGTGGTGTGATGATGAGGTTGTAGGGATGGGGTGTGGGGATGGGAGCTACAGGGATGGGGGTGCAGTGATGGAGTGCAGTGATGGGGCTATAGGGATGGGGTACAGTGATGGGAGCACAGTATTGGGGTTTCAGTGATGTGGGCACACTGATGGGGTACAGTGAGGCATCCATCTGGAAAGACAGGACAGAGCCAGATGGGAAAAGATCTGAACATCCTGTTGAAGTGTTTGAATTGAACAGCAGTGTGAGGTGGGTTTGAAGAAAGGTCATGAGAAGAAGCTCTAGGGTGCCCAGCTCCAGGCCCCTAGAGTAAGAGGTGCATTGCCCAGTGACCCAAGTCCATCCCCAGAGCATCCTCCCTTTGTTCTGTCCACCTGCAGGCCAGTCTCCACCCTGAGGCCACTGGCAGCAGGGTAGATTAGATTATGTTCTAAGCCGAAGCCAAGAGGTCCTCTCTCATTCTGGTTTCTCCCTCAGGGTTTCAGCAGAGCAGTCTTGGAGAACAGAGAGAGCCCATCGCAGGTCTGTGTCTTGGGGGCCATCCAGGCCACTGGTCTGCTGGGAACAGCAAGGTCCAAGGAGGTGATGTCAGGTGGTTCCTCAGCTTCCTAGAAGATTAAATGATCTTTAATGGCCCAAGAACTGCAGAAGTCAGCCCATGCTCCCCAACCTTCCTGTTGCTCCTCATTCCTGCTCCTCTTCCCTAAGTGGCAACGGCTGCAGCTTGCAGGTGGGAAGTCTGGGCTCAAGTCCCAGCTGTGCTGGCTCCTCAGTCCTGTGATATCTGACGATTCATCCTACCTTGCAATTTCCTACTCTGCAAAATGGGAATAATCGCATGACATAGAGTAATGGCTGCAAAAGGTTTAGCCCAGGCTGTGATACCTACTAGGCATTCGGTAAATGAAAGCTAATATCATTATTTCCTACCATGTCAGTTTCCCAGAGAGCAGGCTCTGTCCATTAGGGGATGCCTGAGATAAGCAGAGGTGGCACCTTGACTAAGAGCAAATACACAGTTAGGAAGTCACACCCTCCACAGTTCTCTTTCAATGTTGGGTTTGTAGAAAAGATAGACTAGCTTTGGCCATAGCGTGTTTCTTATGGGTATCTATAACACTTATTAATTTTTCCTTTTAACCAAGAGAGAACAATTCCCCCACCCCACTCCACCCCCATGGTTCATGGTAGATATTTATATGGAGCTCCGTCTGGTAAACTCAGTCCTGGTCAATAATTTAAACAGTCTCTTTAAGTCACATAAGCTTTTTCAAATAAATGCATAGCCTCTCAGATTTGCTTCCCATCCTCTCCAGGATGGCGTCTGGATGCATCAATTGGGGGAAGCTTTTATGACCATACCAGTAGAAGGGTAGAGAGAGCCTAGACCCACTTGCAGAGGTCCTAGCATTGTTGGGCTGTCCACAGCAACTTTTTGGGCTATCCACAGCACCGAGTTCCTGGGAGGATGATGAATTCTGACATGGCGAGCTCACGGTCTATCCTGTTGTCATGGTCAAAGCCCATGGATCCTTCCTTAGGGACTCAGTGCCCCCACCTTGGCTCTGACCAGCCCTCAGCACTGTACTCTACCCAGGTCAGGTTGTGGTTCCACTTTGTCCTCAAGCCCAGGAAGCACCTCTGTGGGTCCCCTGACAACCTCCCTACCCAGGTCCCAACCATAGTCCCAGTTACTCCTGAGTTCCCTTCAAGGCCATGTTTGGGGCCCTTCCAAGGAATAGCTGATCAAGGATAAGCAGGAGCATAACCTGAGATGTGTCTTTGCCCAACCTCTTCTACTTGGTTGTGGCTGCCACAGGCTGGTTTAGGGATTTGGGGCATCCCTACGGCAGTCTCCTCCTGGAGAACCAAGGCTGCCTTCAGCTCCCCTGTGTAGCATACCTTCCACTTTGGGGCTTCAGTCTAAGAGGGAGATTCAGGTCACCTTGTATCACTCCCTGTTTTCCCTACCACTGTTCTCTTCTCCTTCCCAAGGTCCATGGTGCAGGAGGGGCAGATGCTCCATTCTGTCCTATTTTGAGGTCCTCTACACCATACCCTACAGCTTTACTATAACGGTTGCTAGAGGTGGGGGGATGATTTCACAGAAAAGACATGCAAAATATACTGGTACATAAAAACTTTTTGATAATCAACAGTTTTTTTAAAGGTTGATTTAAAGAAAAATTTCAAGCAAACTGATAATCAAGTTAGGAGTGGGAATGGTACAAACTGTGAAGCTACCAGGTCCCTGGCTGAGTTTGGGGAAACACCAGGACCCACGGAAGAAGCTGTGATGGATACATAAATGGAAAAGACCTTTTTGTTGAGGAGGAAGGCAATCATATTCACAGCTCATTAGGAAGCAAGAGGGACCAGAAAAGCAAAGTTCTAAGGAGTTCAGGAGAATCTAGGAAAGGTGGTTGGAAGAGGTAGCTGTTGAATTGGGCTTTAAAGGGTAAGAAGCTGAAGAAAGGCATCAGCATGTGTGGGGGAGGAGGGGTGTACAATAGGCACTTTAAACAGTGTTGAATGAGTTAATGATATAGAGAATCCATATAGTTTCTGATATACTTATAGAGCAGGGAGAATCTTTCTGTTGGCAACTAAGGAGGGCCAGAGTGGGGAGGTAGTGTAAGTCTCAAGGTTGTAGACAAACATGGATATTGCAGACCTTCATTGGCAGGGCCCATGGAGACACCATTTGAGCTGGCAAAGCTTGTGCTTCAGAGCCACATACTGGCCCTGCCAGCAACCTTCCTCCTCTTCTCGGAAACTTGTCTGCTTCTTCACCCTGCTCTGGGTTCTTCTGGCCCCATAGGCAGTTCTGGAAACCTCATTCATGCTTGGGTCTCTGGAATTTATAATCCTAAAATGTCTGCACAAATGTCACCAGAAGTTGGAAACACTGAGGCCCAGAGGAAAGAAAAGATTTGTTCAAGGACACCCTTGATTCTGAGGAAGAATCAAGATAGAACCTGGGTCTCTGTAAATGGTCTCAAGGCCATGGGCAAGAGCATTCAGCTGCTTAGGGCAACCATTGCCAGGAAGGGCCTGGGAAAAGCAGGAAAACAAGTTGCCTTTGTTTTGACCCCATTTTAAAGAGCCATGTGTGGGCGGGTCTCAACAAGCTAGGGTCAGATTTCAATCTAGCAAACACCACTGACCACCTACGCTATGGCCCAGACCCAAGCTAAGGGCTTTGATGTCTGAAAATCTGTAAGTACTTGAACCTAGCAGCAACCAACATGTCTATACACATGCGTTGGGATTTTGGTATGCTCAGTGTTTAACTACACCAGCAAAGTCTGCAGGGCATGCTGGGAACATTTTAGAAATTCTCACCCCATCCCCCATTCATCTCCTGGGATTTGTGGTCACCTCAAAGGTGGGCAGTCTGAACATCTAGACATTTGACACAGGCAGTCCCTTTCTTCCTTACTCATCATCATACCTAGGGACTGCTGTCCATCACTGTTCACTGGATTTCAGGGGGCAATTCGAGCTGTTGTCAAGGTTCCATTTGAACCATAAGTGATTTTTGCTGAATTAAGAATCAAACCTTCAGAAAGGACTCTACCCAAGTCCTATTTCCATAATTCCTGGCGCTGTCAGTGATGCATCAGAAATGGACCTGGATTTGGGAAGAAAGGTATTTATTGGAGTACTGCTAATCTGTAGAGATTTACAGAGCACCTGCCTTTAGCAGAATGCATCCGGCAGCCCCTTGCTCTGCCTTTGAGGAAGGCTTTCCCTGCCTGTCGTGTAGAGTTCTGTATCCAGCAGGCACATAATACCTGCTTGTGACAACCCCGCCTCCCTCAGGAGGTGACTCCTCTGGGAGACCTGTGCATTAGATTGATGCTTCCCAAACCCACCATTGATGTTGTTCAAGTCCTGCTCCCAGATCTCCAGGGGGGCCGAGCAGAAGGACACAATTTCAACAAGTACCCCACATAATTCTGATTCCACCCACCAAACCCCAAGCACTTGGGAAGCCCCCTCCTGGACCCTTTACCCCGAGGGCGGTGTGGACCCTGCTGGAAGCAAGATGGTGATTTTTCTGGGTCCTGAGCCGGATCTTCAATGACCCACCAGAATGCTAAGGACGGGCTTCAACAGAACCACCCGCGTATAGGAATTTCACCTCTTTGGACTTGTCTCCTCGTATTTACGTGGGGGTGCTGGGTCTAGATCAGAACTGCAGACACAACTCAAGCCAGTAGAAATACTGCATTAGGCTCATATCATGATTTTTAAAAATTGAAGCCACATATAAAAATCAAGAGAGATCACGGACTTCTGGTTTGGTGTACCTACATTGTCATAAGCCAAATATTCGCTGGAGTTGAGAAGTCATTGCCCCTTTAAGAGAGGGCATGTGCTGTGTCCCACAGTCCCCACCACATCCTATTGGGCTCTCTTGGCCAGCTTCCATTCACTGCTTGTTTACTGCCTTCCTGGCCCCTGCAGGGGCTGGAGTTAAGGTCTTTGACTTCCCTGATCCCCAGTGTCCCTTGTATTTGTCCCATTCCGCAGGCCCAGGGCCTGCCACATTATCCTTCCCCAGCTTACAAGTTAATCATCAGCTTCTCCTTATGTAAATCAGAACAGGAAAGTCTTGCTTGGCCAATTCCTCCGAAAATCTTGGTCCGCTGCCTCTCTTCACCAGCCTGGTGTCCTGTGTCTGCCTGCTCAACATTTGTCTGCTGACAGGAAGCCCTTTCTTGTCCCTGACGGAAGCTCTCTGAGGCCAGCTGCGGCCGTGGAGGTGCAAGGAGTCCAGGCAGGCCAGCCGGATGAGCGGGGAGTGGGGGCATCAGGGCCAGACCCTGATCTGGGCTGTTTGGGTCCTTGCAGCTGCCACCGAGGGTGAGACACCCTGTGGGAGAGGAGAGCCCTCAGAAGTTGGGGTAGGGAGATTTCCTTACCATAGAGGATTTTCCACTAGTGCAAACAAACCCATCTCTCGGAGGTCCGAAGGCTCATAAAAGGCTATGTAGTAACCTCGGGGCACCTGACCAATGTCCTGGTGTTACTGAAAGCCACCACCAGCCCCCCCCCCGCCCCCGCCAGAGTCTCCTTTGTGGGAGTGGGTAGAGTGCAGAAGACCCCGGTCCTGTCCGTGGGTTGCTCACACCTTGTCGGAGCCTGGAGAGCCCTCTGTCGGAGGCACCGGGGAGGGGCTAGGATGGAGCCCGAGCTTTGTACTGCTGCCCGCCTGGACAGGACTTTCTGTATTAGAATGACATTAGAGCGGGTAGCACCAAGACACCTGAGTCCTGCTCAGTAAGTAGCTGGCAGTGAACTTCTCAGCACTCCATATTCTATGTGGAGACCGAGAAGCTTGCACTCTCGGGTTCCCAAAATGTCATCCTCATATCCCCGGAGGCGGATGAGCTGATGTCAGGTGACAACATCATGCGAACTTTTTACTTTCGTTGATGTATATTCATTTTCATGTGTATTCAGAAACATAGACCTAACTCATCCAAAGCCCAAGTCCATAGCTGTTACTGCTTGGGAGTCCGCTGGGTAAGATTTTTAAAGTTTATTTAAATTTAATTTTAAGAAAAACCAAAAAGCTAGTAGTCATATAGGGGATGTGCAGACAGGCCAGCAAGTGTGCTGATGGGTATGAAGACGACTCTGGGCCAGATGACTTTGTGGGATGCTAGGGTCTGCAGAGCCTGGCATCCATCAGTTCCAGAATAAGGGAAATCTGCTCTGTGGAAGGGAGAGCTTCCTTGTTCCCCAGGGTGACCGGGGCAAATTTTGGGGCTCGGTGTTGTGCTCCTAGGAGAAACTAAGTCGGTGCTCTGATGCAGGTGCTTTCTAAGGCAATCTTGAAAGAAGCCCTGGACAGGGGTTCATTGACAGGGAGTCTAGCTACTTCCTGTTGCCCAGCCTCTGGGCTGAGAAAGAGTGCCCCCAGTGAGGGGAGCTCCTAGTTGGGCTTATTCCAGTTCTCTATCCAGCCACTCCTGATTCCTCCCTGTGTGTTCCCTCAGGGCCAGCCGCGGATGCACCGATGAGGAGCACCAGGCTGGGATGGGTCCGGGGGAAGCAAGCCATTGTGCTGGGAAGCACCATGCCTGTGAACATGTTCCTTGGGATCCCCTACGCTGCGCCCCCTCTAGGACCCCTGCGATTTAAGAAACCAAAGCCTGCCTTGCCCTGGAATGAGCTCCGAGATGCCACGTCCTACCCTAAATTGTAAGAGCAGGCTCAGTCCTGTGGTGGAATGTGACCTGGGCATGGGGGCAGAGTACTGAAGGGGAATAAAGGTCATGCAGCTCCCTGGGAAAGGTGGGGGCACCAAGGAGGAGGAGGAGGGGTGCGGAAGTGGACAAGGGCTTCAGTAATCCCATGGCCCCCCAGCTAGCTAATCAGCAGGATCACTGGTGGTGGTGTTCAGAGCACGCAGATTCCTTGGGCTCCCTTCTTGGGACTTCCTGAGTCAGAATCTCCAGAGCTGGGCCCAGGAAACTGGTTTCACTGGAAGGTGTCTAGTGATTTGAGGACCAATCGGCTTTGGAAACCACTGTGACGGACTTACTGAGTCTTGGTCCAGGTGTTTCCATGTCACCCCCCACCTAGGCTTAGTCTCCAGGGTCCAGACTGGCTTTGGGGTGAAGAACCACCCAAGAGGGATTTCAGCTCTAGTGCTCTGTGCCCAATGCAGGGAAATCCACAAACACCTGTAGAATAAATGTGTGTGTCCTGGGTCAGGAGCCCCCCGTCATTGCAAATGTTCAAGCTGAGGTTGGTGAATCGTGATGAGGACTTAAGCATAGGTTGGGAGGTGAGACTTGAAAATCCCCCAGAATCTTCTGATGCTCAGATTCTGGGAAGTCCTCAGGTTGGGCCACACTGGTTCTTGGTTCTTGGCCTTGGGGTCCCAGGCAGAAGGAGTACCCTTGTGCCAGGAAGCTGTCTAAGCCACAGAAGAACCCATGTGGCCCAGGGACCGAGGACACGAAGCTGAAACTCATCTGTTCCTTCCTTCATGTATTCATTCAACTAATATCCATTGAGAACCAACTCAGTAACTGCCTCTCTGTAAGGCCCTGGGGGCACACAGTGGGCTGGTCACAGCTGCCCTGAAGGAACTTGTAGGCTGGTGGGGGTGGTAGGGGCATAAATAATAACAACGATTAAAATATAGAGTGACAAGGGCAACCTTTTAGGGGATCAGAGAAGGATGCTGAGAAGGAACCACCTAGTCTAACCTTGGAGGGAGGTCAGGGATGGCTTTGCTGAAACCAGTGAGGCCTTGATTTCTCATAAACAATATACAAAGGGGCAAAAATGCATAAGCACTTGTCTGAGTGGAAGAGGCATATGGGGGTAAATTTGCAGTGATGGTTTCCTACCGCCTAAGCTGTACACTCTTCTATTAAAAAAAATTAACACTAATTGAGCCCTGAGAATATTAGGAATCACATATATTGGTCTCACTCAATCCTACTGTGTCACATGCTCAGTCCTAGGGACGGTGAGGTACCGAGGTGACTAAAACAGTTTTTAGCTGCTCACATTTGAGTGGAGGAAGATGGTAACACTCATGTGCAAGTCTAGGAGAACTTCAAGGGAAGAACACAACATATATAGGTGTTTCTTTTTTTTTTTTTTTT